TTGATTCTGATTCACAGCATCCCTAGAGGACAGGGTGGAATTTCCCCAGAGGGTTTACAAAGCTCTGGTAGGGTAGCGCCTAAGGCACTTGACTGCTAACCAGGAGGCTGGTAGTTCAAACCCATCAGCCACTTCTCGGAAGGAAGGTTGGGCAATGTACTTCCGTCGTGGTACCGCCTCAGAAACCCAAGAAGGGGCGCTATGAGTCAGATCTAACTTGACAGCAGTGAGTTTTCAATCTTCACAGAAGCAAAGCCCAAGCCACACCCACTGCTGTGGAGTCCATTCGGACCCAGTGCCCCTAGAGGACGAAGAACTGCCCCACCGGGTTTTCAAGGCGGTCATCTTTATGGAGGCCGACCGCATCACCCTTCTCCTGCACAGCGGCTGCTGAGTTCCAGTTGCTGACCTTTTGGTTAGCAGCCAGGCGCCTCAACAGCTGCACCCCCAGGGCTCCCTTTCTTGCACTAAAAACCAAACTCACTGCGGTTCAGCCGATTCCAACTCACAGCGACCCCCACTGGGTTTCTAAGGCAGTCAATCTTTACGGAGGCAGACCGCCTCATTTTTCTTCCACAGGTGGCTGGTGGGTTTGAAATGTTTGATGGACAGCTGAATGTCTTAGCCACTGCACCCCCACAGACCCGTATGCACCGGGTCCGACTGACCTACAAACTCTTGAAGACACGGGAACAGATCTCATTTGTAACCCAGGGTGTCTCTGGGCAGGAATCTGTGGGGAGGCTGGGGCTGGGAGGGGACATTTGACAGATGAACTGACGGAGACACAGGAAGTCCTCGCTGGAGGCAGGTCTGGGCTCTGGCCGGAGACCCCTTCCTGGGGGTGCTGGGCACCCTGCTGTGGGCAGTGGTGGATCCGAGAGCCCACGTTTGCAGTGCAAACCTTCGCCACCAACCCGCCCGCCGCGGGCCGACTTACGCACCATGTGGTGTATATTCTGGATTTTCATCCTGTGCATTAGTGACGTCTCCTTTGCTTTCAACAGGAGGACGCAGCTCTGGATGAAGTCGCAGTAAGCAAATTTACCGTTGTTCTTTAAGTCGTACTTTGTGACAAGCTGCTGGCCCTCCTCCTTGCTTATGTCCAGGTTAAATTTCTCGGCAAGCGCTAAAGACAAGAACGCCAGGTCAGTGGGTGCGTGCGTGTTCACTCATTCACGCAGTCACTCATTCACTCATTCGTTCAACCAACAGTCACCGGGACACTCTCTCTGCTCTAGGCCCTGGGTTGGGCCTCGCTTCCTGGGGCTCACACTGGCTGGGTGGGCAGGTGTGCAGACAGACAGGCATATGACAAGCCAAGTGCACAAGGAGGGTGACCGCAGTGGGGCCGTGTCCTGGGTGTGCCTGCTGCTCAGGGCTCTGGGTAGCCACATACACTTCACAACGTGGGGCGGACGGGGCTGGGGGCCAGGATGAACTCAGCAGCCAGGAGAGGAGTTCCCAGAGGGCAGGAGCTACCTGGCAAAGGCTAGGAGTCCTGGGCAGAGGCCGGTGTTGGATGTGACGGGACAGGAAGGTTCTAGGGCCTGTGGGTGAGGCCTGGGGGCGGGCTCTGGGCAGGCTTAACAGCCCCTCTAGGAGTCCCGAGCTGGCCTCTTACAACGTGTTTGTCCACTGGGGTTTGGAAGGCACAGGACAAGGGTGAGAATGTCCACGCTTTGAGTTTTCACCCCAGTGCTGACCTAAGATGTACACAACTTAGCCTCTGAATACAGACCACCCCTCAGGAGGCCACCGCCCTGACTGTCAGATCCCAGGCTGGCCTTCTGAGCAGAAGTGTGTTGCTGCCGCGCTGCCCGTGTGCTGGGGAGGTGAGCCTGCTGTCCCGGGGCCGGCAGCTCTGGGCGCCTGAGCACCGCCACTCCGCCCAGACTGCATGTGCAGGTGCGGGCCTTGCCCCGGTTAAAGAGCTCCCGGGAGAGGTTCTGTTAACCGCCGGAACAGCCCCGAGGCTGACACCCTAGTGGCTTCAGCTGAATAAACTGGGGCTCTGCTCCGCCAGCAGCAGACATCAGACGGTGAGGAGCAGAGTACTGAGCGTGAGGAGGCAAGTCCACGGCATGGACTTGGGCTCAACAGTGATACCATCAAACCACGCAGGGGCCAAGGGCTGTGCCGAGCACCGTGCACACAGAGAGAAGCCAGAGCATGCGGTGCCGCCGGGGGCTGGGCTGGGGAGGCGTGGGCACCTGGCGGAACTGTCACTAAACACTGTGACCTCCCAACGTGCACAAGACCGTCAGCAGGGGAAGACGACCTTGGAAAATCAGTGTTTTTTTTTACAATACTGAATTTTGGATATACTATGAAAGGAGCCTCGGGCGGTGCAAATGGTTAACGGGAAGGGTGGAGGCTCGCGTCCACCCAGAAGTGCCTTGAAGGAAGGTTTGGTGACCGACCTCCCAATGCCCGCCACTGTGAACCTCACGAGCACCGCTCCGCCCTGACACGCGTGTGCTGTCGTGAGTCAGAGCTGACTTGGAGGCACACACGGACCCACAACTGTCCTCTGACCAGGCTGTCGGAGTAACGGGCCGGTGGCTAAAGGAGTTCACAGTGAAAACAAAGCTCCCCAATGCTGCTGACGGGAGGACACAGGCTACGGCTGCTGGTGCTGCGACTCCAGCAACGGCGTGAAGAGTGCGCGTCAGACGGGCACCCAAAGCACACTGGGGACTTGGTTTCAGCAAAAGGTCACAGGACATCCACGCCCCAACCTTTATTTGATGATTACTGATTTTATATTGAGTCTGTAAGTCTACTGAAATAAAAGCTATAAACTGAAAGGGCTTACACTTGTTTTGTACATTTTTAAGTGATGGTTACCATAATTTATATCAACGTGGGAACTTGGCCAGTATCTTGACTATACGTGTTAGTCAAGAAAATGGGGTGCTGAAGGGGTTTTTAAGTAGATTTATTTTTCTGTAATGGTAACATGCAACAGTTTGTACAAGCATGAATCCAACTGGTTCAAATTTAAAAAGTTTATCAAAGTCATGTTGTTGTTGGGTCCCATGGTGGCCATTCTGAATCACAGTGACCCCATATGGCACAGCACAGCTGCCCCAGAGAGTTTTCCAGACTCACCTATGGGAGCAGACCATAGGTCTTTCTCCTGCAGAGACACTGGGTGGGTTTGGACCACCAACCATTGGGTTAGCAGGTGCATGCTTAACCCATCAGAGTAATTAAAAAAAAAAAAAAACCCTCAAAAAACAAACAAAAGATGGTGGAATAGGCAGACAGACTGCACAGACCCTCTTCAACAAAGAAAAAATAAAAACTCACTGCCATTGAGTTGGATCTGACTCATAGTGACCCCTCCTTGGGTTTCTGGGCACCACCCCAATCTTCCTTCTGAGGACCGGCTGGTGAGTTTGAACCACCAGCCTTCTGGTTAGTAGTCAAATGCCTTAGGCACTAAAGGGAACCAGTTAACACAGATACAGAAAATAATCCTGGAGCCCTGAGCTTTGAAGGGAAGGATATAGAAGTGGACTAAACTCCAACTAGTAGAACTTGCATGAAAACACCAAAAATGGAGCCACATGGAGCTGTGGTCTGGCAGTGATCCTGCCAGCACATAGCTTGGATATTGCCGAGTGGTGTAAGGACCTAAAAATTAATCTAAAAATTGGCCCTGCCAGCCACAGGCTGCGCAGAGGACTGCACTGGTGGCTGGTGAATGAAATGGGAAGCAGCAAAGAGGAAGGTGACCTGAGCTGTGCACTTCTGTCTGTCTGGAGAGCACGGCCATTTTCAATGTTTGTAAGGGTTCTGAGATTGGACCAACGCAGGTCCCTGCCTGGTGCACAGTCAGGCCAAAATAGTTTACACACTGAGTGATTAAGAGGAGAGAAAATTATTCACTGCAAAGCAGCAATGCAAGGAGACAGGGGCTGTACCCAAATCAGACTCCCCAAATGCCAGTCAGGTTACAATTTTGTAAGTTTAAAGAGAGAGGGTTACGAATATTCATAAAAACTTCAGGAATTTGGGTGTGAAATAGTTGATGATCCGCTGAAGTTTCCTTCACCTTGGTTTAAAGGGACAGTCGTTTTTTAATGCAGTGCGCTTGCACACCGATGAGTCACACTGATTCCTGTCATCAGCTCATCGGGGCTCAGGCAGAGGGGAGAATGTCAGTTCCCAGCAACTTTGTTCCTGTTTGTCTGACTGCGCATGTCCGCGGGCCAACGTTAATTTTCAAGTTCTCTCCTGAGACACATTAACGTGCTTATCACCTGTTTCTAGGGGAAACAGCGGGAAAAGAATGTGCAAATTGACTTTTTGTTCCATTCAGCTCTTAAGGAACTGAGTTATGTTTGCTTGTTCGTCTCCAACCAGGGTCCTATCTGTCCTAACCAGGGTGGGGGAATAGTTGAGCTTTCATCCTATTCAGCTCTCAAGGAACTGAGTTATCATGTTTACTTATCTGTCTCCAACTAGGGATGCAGGCTGAATTTTGACTCCACTCATTTCAGTTCGACCATTTTGGATATTTAAAGTGACAGCGTTCTTCCAGATTCCAAGGACTTAACAAAAGGCTCCACTTGTTGGGAACCACAAGGACATTCTGGATGCCAGTGACTGGAAAGGTGCGATATCCCCTTGTTACTCTTAGACCCTACACCCTCTTGGTGAACAGAGGTGCAGCCATCCTTCACTCCCATCCACCTTCTGGGCTGGCAGGAATTCCATCCCAGTCTGTGTGCTCAGATGGAGCCTGGGTACCCTGCCCCAATCATTTTTTTTTTTTTT